TGGGTGGGTGGATCAGTGGAGGTTGGGAAGTATTTCCGAGAGTAGAGAACATTTAAGGAAGAGCTTAAAGGAGGCATACAGTTTGCCACAGTAAGGAAGGGCAGTACAGATGATGGGGAAATGTGGGTCCTACGCTGGAGATGGGAAAGTGATTGAGATTGTGGTCAGTAGAAGTTGCAACATCTCAGTAGAGGATCATCCAAACCAGGGTCCAGAAAGGAATGTGTTCCCTTGCCAAAGAGTTTGGTAGACTGCTGGAGGTTTCTGAGCAGAGGAAATGTCATGATCAAATGTATATTTTAAAAGGATGGTATTGATGACCCTGTGGAGGAAGAATGGGGGGTGTAAGCGTGCCTGGAGACCAGCCCCAGAAGATTGCTCATGAATGCATGGATCCAGTGCTTGGCATAACATTTTCCACACACCATTCCTGGCAAGTGTCTATCCCTTGACGTGCAGTCCCAGAAGATGAAGATCTAAAGTGGTGGAGAGGCCGATTCTAAAGAGCTTGTGTCCAAAATAAATCTTATCTGTGGCATTATTGAGACGGTGTTGTTCTTCACATTTAGACATTCTTTGTAGTGGACCCTCTGTGGACGAACAGAACGGACTGTGTGCCCTGTACTGAGCCCATGAATACAAGGCACTCAGGATAGATCAGAGGCAAGGTCTGCCAGCTAGTTTCTTTCCTCCTTCCATGTCCATGTATCTAACCAGGGCAAAGGGCATGATAATATTTTCTCAAGCATTCTGGGAATATGATTTTTGTTAAGAAAAAAAATGACCTTCTAGCACATAACAGGCCTATAGTAGCAGCCTTTATTAGGGCGAGAGTCAGAAGGAGTAGGAGCAGATGCAACTGTGGAGATACCCTATTCTAAGGCAATACACCGACATGTAGCAGGGCTGGATGCCTAACACTATGAGAGCAACCCTGGCCCTTGGATGTGGGGCTTTGAGTGGCGTGGGCTGGGAAGTGGTTAGGAGTTAGGATAAGTTGGGACATAGGCTCTGTGGGTGGAGTCTTTGATTCAGAGTTTTCCTGAGGCAGAGGATAAGCCTGGGTCTCCCAAAGAAGCCCTGACAAAAGCGATGGTCTGGGCTGACCCTACAAGCTCCATCTCCCAGCGCTCTCTGTTCACTTTTCCACCTCGATTGCCCCACGTAGCCTTCTGCCATGGTCTGCCATGCCTGCTTGTCCCTGCCGTCTAGCACATCTTATAACCCCGGTGACCCATGGCCTCACCAGCCTGTGCATTGGAATGAGGGCATATTAGCTTTGATACCTTCTTCTTCTTTTTTTTTTAATGTACTTGTTTTAAAGATCCTATAAATATAGAGTGACTACCCACTAACGTGGGATATGAAACCCCTCTCAGCATGGTATTGTTTTTTAAAAAGCAGAATTTCTTATAGGAATCTTATCGATCACACAGTAGTTATAAGAATGTCAGATATAGTGACATACAATCTAAACAAGACAGGCCGATTAAGAATGTACATAATGTAAAAATATACATATTAAAAGTTAGCCATGTAGACAGACGCATGCAGCAGTAGGGGTAGGTGATAGGAGGTTGGGGGGTGGGAGCCCATATGCAGTAATATTGCCTAATCCCAACATTATAGTAAATAATTTCCACTAACTGATACAAGTATTCCATACACATCTAAATACACAAAGGCAAATCATGACCTGCTACATATAGTCTAAAGTGGTCTGTGATCTTTTTGTGATATTTCCATGAAAATAGTTAATAGTCATGCAGGTAGTAGGAAGTATTGGTTATTCTGGTTGGACTTGGGAAATGTTTAACTTTTTGACATTAATATCTGTGAAGAGAATATATCTCCTTTTACTGCTTTCTTCACAATTGACATGCGCTTAGAGTGGGGGAATTTCAATGGTGGTTTGACCTAACAGTGATGACTGAAATACTCTTTAAAAAATGTGGTAACTTTTTAACAACATATTTTAGTCACACACTTAACATGAAACATGGATCATCTGCAGGATTCTGTAGTTTCTACCACTGTCCTAAAGAATGAAACTGATACAAGTGCTTGTTTCTTTACCAAAGCAGGCACTATTTTGAGCTCTGTGATCAGAGCATATCCAAAACAGAAGAAATGTCACTTTTTTCCTCTGGGCCTTTTGAGAAACTTGACCAAAATAAATTATTCAAGGTTCCCCCTGAGCAGTGGTGTCATCATGTATGTTACTGTCTGGAGAACAAATAAGAACTTCCTAACAGTGCAAGAGCGTTGCCTTGGGTACACTTGATAGGAATCAGGAACCTTTAACAGCAGTTCACCGTTTTCTTATTTAGCCTGTATTATGGCAAATGTGTTTGGGGGGCTATGCTTGAGATTTCTCTAGTTGGATAGAAACCCTTCAATAAGAAGTTGGCAGGTTCTGACTTACTGTCTCTGAATGCTCAAAATGCAAGTTCCTATTGGGGAAAGAACATTAAAATAACTTGAAGATCTATCTTATTGGTAAGTTAGAATGCAAAGTATTTTATTTTTAAACTTTGAAACAAGACAGCCTAGGTTAAATAATATAGTTTTCCAAAGCTGAATGTGCCTGCTTGGAGCTCAGTTTTTCTGCTTAAAGTACAAAAACAACTTTCTAAAACTCCTAGGCCAGACACTACTCTTTTGATGATCTGTGATTTAGATGAACAGATCCAATCTCAGTTGGTAACATCCCTTTTTTCCCCGTTGGTAAGGGCCTTTCAAAGTTAATTTCTTTTTAAAAAGTATATATTTTCATTGACTTTAGATAGGAAGGGAAAGGGAGAGAGAGATAGAAACATCAACGATGAGAGAGAATCATCTATTGGCTGCCTCCTGCACAGCCTTCCACTGGAGATCCAGCCCATAACCTGGGCATGTGCCCTGACCAGGAATCGAACTGTGTCCTCCTGGTTCCTCGTTCAATGCTTAACCCTGAGCCACACTGATCAGGACAAAGTTTGTTTCTTAATTCCAAATTAGCCCTTGACTTTGAGAAAAAAATATTACAGATCCCACAAAGGGCCTTTCGATGGAATGAACCGAAAGCCTTATTCTCTTGGAAGTCATATCCACTACTGCAAAGTGATTGAGAAGCAAAAAATGATACCCATAGAACCAATAAGCCAATAACACCCCGTCCACTCTTGCACTTAACAACTCTCCCAGCCCAGTTTACACAGAAAGTTAGCTTATTTCCACTTTCTTTCTCCAAATAATCATTTAACCAAATCTCAGTGTGTGAGTCATAGATGCCGCACGAGCTGTTTGGACAGGCTGTGTGGAAAGTGTGAGTAGATCAGAATGGGAATGTTGGCCATGGAGTTGGGAAATGTACTATTTTATTTCACGAGGACTTTCTCACTGAGGTATACATTCTGGGGCACAGTCCTTACAGGACCTGGGAGAAATTTGACACGTTCTATTTTAATCCAAGATTAATTAATAGAGGTTTGTTTGTAAGGACAAATAGTTTATTTTTAAACTTTTTATTATGGGAAAATTTAAACACATACAAAGTAGACCGAATAGTGTAATGATATACCACATACCCATCACCCAGCTTCAACCACTGTTAATGTGTAATCATTCTTCTTTCATAATCCCATTCATTTCCCCTCATCTCATGCTATTTTGAAGAAAATTCCAGGCATTATTTTATGACATAATTGAGGCCTGATGCACAAAATTCGTGCAAGAGTAGGCCTTCCTTCCCCTGGCTGTGGGCACCAGCTTCCCTCTGGCACCGGGTACCCGGGCTTCCCTCCCAGCCCTGGCTTTGTTTGGAAGGTCGTCCAGAGGGATATCCGATCTAATTAGCCAATTACGCTTTTATTATTGTAGATGACTTCTGTATGTATCTTTAAAAGATAAGAACTCCTATAGTGTGATTTCTCATGCCTTTTTACTGTTATAGTTTTTTTTCCTCTTTATTAGCTAGATGATCTTTCACTGTGTAACCTATTTTATGGGTGTATTCTGTCTCCTTTTCTCTCTCTCTCTTACTACATGTTTTGTATTTAGAAATGTTTATATTTTTGTGGTCATAGTTATCTTACACTAACACCTTTAAGTATTACCTTTCCTCTCTTCTTTTATTGTGGATTATTATCTATAAGTGAACTACTATGAGTAATAGTCATAATAAAATTAGCTAATTTCATCTTTTTCTTCCACCCCTTCCCTGCCCCCCAACCCCAACAGCTTTGCTCTAGATTGTCTTGATTCAGGGTGAACACTTTATAAGTTATATAAATGTCTAATCACGATGTTGTACATCCGAAACTAATATAATATTGTATGTCAACTGTAACTGAGAAAAAAACAGGAAAAATTGTCTTGATTATTCTTGATTTTAAGACTTTCATATAAGTTTTAGTATTAGTTTATGGATTTTCATTTAAAAATCCTTTTAAGATTTTCATTGGAATTACATTAAATTTCAATTTCAGGAAAACTTATATCTTCATGATCGTGAATTTTCTAATCCATGAACAGTGTATATGACTGTTTATTAAGATCTTTTCAATTTTTCCTTAGTAATATTATGTGGTTTTCTTAATATAATTTGTTAGAGTTATACTTAGGTAATAGATGGGCTTTTGGATGACACTGTGAAGGCATTTAAAATTTTATTCTTCAAGTGTAAGACTTAAGAGTTTTAACTAGTCTTTCCTCTCCTCAGGCATCTGCGAGCCCCAATGCAGAGCAGGCAGGGACTGAGGGCAAGGAGAACAGTGCATCAGGGAGGGCTGTGGTCACGTCTGCTCCCCCATGATTCCAATAGGTAAGTCTTTTTTAAATTTCAATTTGCTTATTTTTAATTTTACAATTACACTTTACTTTCAGTATTATTGTACATTGGGTTCAAGTGCACAGCACAGTGACTGGACAATCATACTTTACAAAGTGTTTCCCCTGATATTTTCAGAACCCAGCTGTCACCACCCATAGTTATTATAATACTAGAGACCCGGTGCACCGGTGGGGTTTCTCTGCATGGTCTGCGGGAATCGGGCCAGAACCAGCAGTCCAACGCCACCTGCAGCTCCTGCTCATCCCAGCCCCCCTGCGCCTGCCACGGACTCTCTCCCAGTCAGTCCCGATCTGGAGAGGCTTGCGCTCCTGCAGTGGAGCTCCCAAACCATGAGCCCTGCGTCTGACACCCGTCCTGAGGAGGGGGCGGGTCCTGGATGTGATTGGGCCCTCCAGGAGGGTGGTGGGACACCCTTGCTGGCCCAGGATCAGGATCTGTCCTCCGCAACTCTCCCCCACTTATGTTCCTGCTGGTTGTCTGGAGCCACCTGGCAGCCGCTTTTATATCATTTCTTCCTTGCAGAGCTTCTAGGAAGGGCAAGTGTCCACAGTGCCTTAGGCTGACTTCCTGGAGGCTGACAGTGCTGTCAGGATCCTGCTGGCGGCACTGGTCCATCTGTGCCTGGCTATTCTCTGGAGATTGGACCTACAGGACTACTGAGGGAGTGAGTGGCTGCTGCAGGGCTGGATGGCCCATGGGGCTGAACAG